CCAACAGGCTCCCTGGTGGCTCTAAACATTTATCACTGGTGTGTGTGTGTGTGTGTGTGTGTGTGTGTTTGTGTGTGTGTGTGTTTGTGTGTGTGTTTATTTATCGATACATGTTTTGTGTGTGTGTGGTCCATCAGTGATGAGAACATGTGTGTGTACATGAGTATATCTTCATGTGGGCTCAGCTGTCGGGCCTCTGTGGTGGGCCATTACCTCTGATACCGGTCTAAGGTCTATCAAGTCTAGGACATCGAAATCAACATGTCACACACACACACACACACACACACACACACACACACACACACACACACACACACACACACACACACACACACACACACACACACACACACACACACACACACTCCTTACCTTGGTCTGATGGGTTATCACTGGGGGAATGTACATCCACTACCAAAGACAATTTGTCTGGAAGGCGGGAGATCTTTCCTCGTCTCCACCTCATCTGTGCCCCTCAGGTGTACGGGGTGTCTGAAGGTAAAAAGCCAAACGGGCTGACACGATGTTCTGTCTGATTGACCACTTCGCTGGCTCATCACTCAGGTGGAGAAGCAAGCTGATTTTTCAAGTTTATATCAGGAAGTAAAAACTCCCAAATCTTCACTAAAAGGAGATCTTCATGCAGCACTGATTGTAAACTAATGTATGCTAACAGCACAAGCAATGGATCTATAATGCTGAAATACATTTGAAAACAAATCAGAATAAATAAAAGCAAATGTTTGAATAAACTAAATATATAAAGTTACGGCGTAGAAAATATGAAGGTATATTAAAATTATGAGACTCAAACATCTTTTGTGCGTTCATTCTGTGTTTTTCCTAAATGCTTTACTTGGTTCATTTTTAACAAAAAAAAAGATTGTTTTTGCATTTTTTGCTGACGTTTCCACCACTCCTGCAGTCTTCTAGAGCTAGCCGCTGTTGGCGGCGTCGCCTCCTTCTCCGTAGGCAGCAGAGGACGGTGTCGCCCTCTACTGCTCACACTCTCCACAACGATGATGCTGTCCCATGTGTGATCCAATGTGTAGATCCCATCATCTCCATATTTCTGTCACTTCCTTGATCCATCTTTGGTATTTTTGTTGTTCGGTGTTTATAATCCTGGTTCTGTCTCAGTCCATTAGTTTTCTCTTGTGCAGTGGTCTGTTACGGCTGATTTTTTAACGTACTTTCTGCTTCCTGCTTCGCTGCTCTTTTGTGTCTTTGACTTGTTTCTGTAGTTGCACTCTGTACTATGTCATATTGTTCGTGTTGAGATGGCGTTCGTTGGCGTTGAGCTGGCGTTAGAATCATTATTCTACTGGCAGTTAAAGAATGAACTACAGTGATAAAGGACAAAGAAAAATACAAACAACAGATGGAACAGATGCTAGAGGACAAAAATATTGCAAAACACTTAAAAAAAGATCCAACAGACGACATTAACCCTTTGTTGCATAATGGTCACTACAGTGCAGGTACTCAAAATTGTTATTTAGTTGTTTTTGCTATTAAGCACAGCTGTTGAAGACTTTATTGCATGTGAGCCCCTCCATTTGGACTTCAGCAAGTCAAGCCAACATATTTCATGTTCAAAATGCACACTGTCCACTGAGGTGGACACGTAATCAATTTTTTGTAAATTATAAAATTTTACAAAAAATATTTGTTGAAATTTGTTTCATTCACACCTAAAGACAAATGAAAAAAAATTGTTACAAAAATCATGGTTGAAGATTTCATAATTCGTGCATCAAAGGGTTAAGAAAAACGTGAAAAAGTTACTGAAACCACTAGAAGAAAAAGGCAAAATAACAGAAAAATGTACAAACACTGGATTCCAACAGCAAACATAGGAATCTATGGAGCCCCAAAAATCCTCAAACAGATCACCCCACCGGACGCCGACTCAGCACACGAACAACAGAACATAGAAAATTGTGAGAAGTCGAAGACGCACAAGAGCAGCAAAACAAGAAGAAGAAAGTACAGTAAAGAAATCAGCCGTAACAGACCACCGCACATAATGGACTGGGACAGAACGAGGGTCATAAACAGCGAACAACAAAAATACAAAAGATGGATTAAGGAAGCTATAGAAATAAGGTGACTGGACACACAACCATCAGCAGAGACGGTAAGATCTACACATTGAATCACACGGGGACCGTGCCATTGGCGAGGAGAGTGCGGGCCGTAGAGGGCGACAAGGAACCGATGCCTCCAACAGCAGCTAGCTCTGAAGAAGACTGTGGTAGTGGTCGCAATGTCAGCAAAAATGATAAAAACAACCCTTTTCTGCGTTAGAAAAAGAAACAAGCAAAGCAATGAGAATCAAAGGTATACATAAAATCATGTCCTACATTTACAATCTAATCCACACACTAAATACACACATCAACGTATTTAGAAGCAAATCAGAATTGCATCCAAACAGCATTTATCTGAAACGAAAAAGTCTCATCTGAAACCAGAAAAACAGATTTTACAGGACGCTTTAGGTGTGAGCCGGGAACTCTTGGCAGACACGGGAGCGCTGACTGCAGATACATGACTCTGAGGTGGGATAGTGATGGAGGCAGATGTTTGGCTGTGTTATGACCTCAGCAATAAGACAGACATGCGGCTGTGCTGCATCTAGAGGAGCAGGTGCTGCCATACCATTACCATCTGTGCTGATGAGATCTGGGCCCCAGCCGTGATGGATGCTGCAGCATTTATTTTCCCTTAAAGTCACGTTTAAAACCAATAATTGTTCAGGCTGGTGGAGTAATGGCCCAATGCAAAAACCTGTGTTCTCCAAAGGGGAGTTGTGGTGGTTAGTTAGTGGATCTGCTACACACACTGTGTTGTTTTACTCTTTGAGGGTTTAATTTCCAGTAGGAGGAAAAAGTTTGGGCAGCCTTGTTGATCTTCATGATTTTCCTGCATAAATTGCTGGTTTTCCACGATAAAAAATGTCTGTTGAATAAACTGTCATAGAGGAGACACACGCAGTGATGTTTGAGAAGTGAAACAAAAGTTTGTAGGATTTACAGAAAGTGTGCAATGATTGTTTAAACATAATGAGGTGCATAAATTTGGTCATTTTATTAATTACAAAATCTTTAGAAATAATTACTGGAACTCAGGATTGGTTTGGTAAGCTCAATGACCTTTGACCTCCAGACACAGGAGAATTCAGTTATGAGAAAATATTTTGTAAAGATGTCAGGATCTGGGGTGAGTGCTGCACTATTCTGTTCACCTTGCCTCAGTCTCTGCAGGTGGGCGGTTCTGGAGAGTGGCTAGCTGCAGTTAATTCCTAATCAACTGGTCCAGGATAAGGATAAGGAGCTGGGAGATCGCTTCACTTTGCTGGATGATTACTCACTTTGGGTAGCGCTTGCTATTATAGAGAAAACTGTAGTTTTAGTCCTTTGCCTTGTGCTCACAATCTGTTGTTGTCGTTGTTGTATTGAATGAACCCCGTCTTGTCCTCACCACTGACCAATTCTGCAATAACCTGGATTTCACCTTCGAGCCTGATCTGATCTCCCTTCACGCCTGGACCGACCTGCTCTCCCACTGCTCATCCCCCTTGGATTCTGGATTCCCACCTACGCAGCTCACCCCAGTCCTGACTTCCCCCTCAATATCTTGGATCCCAATCCTATCGTAAGAGCTACAGAAACCAATACCTCCTAGCATTCTACTTTGCCCTATCGTGACCATTGTTTGTCTCAGCAGACCCAGCCCCGGAGCTGTGCTGATCATCACCGCCACATCTGGCGGTGCACCTTTAGTTTCCTTTACAAAATAAAACATTCTTATTTTTACTTATCTCCGTCTCCAAATGTGGCTCTGCATGTCTTGGGTCAGGAAATTCTCCACTACCATGACAAAAGAGCTGCAACATGGGGTCTCAGAACAACTCTCACATGGGCTGAAAACAAACTGTTCGCCATCTTGGTTTAGGAGAAGGATACAGAAAGCTGTCTCAGAGATTTCAGCTCTGTTTCCACAGTTGGAACACACTGAGGAAATGGAAGACCACAACAGTTCAAGTTAAAGCACCAAGAAACTTCTGGGTTAAACAGAAGTGAAGAATAATGCTGCTGACCCCGTGACCCAACCTGGGATAAACGGATGGATAGATGTGGAAACCAAAATGGTTCATCTCCTAAACCAAATCTTTTTAGATATGAAGCCAAGGGTGACCAGATTTCTATACTAATGAGGGCACCAATCAAGTTTTAAGTTGTCACTGGCCACAAAAACGAGATTTTTTTAAAAACGGAATAAAAAGATTGTTGTATGTTTATTTTTTCTCTTCAAAATAGACATTATAGAAATAATCTGGACAAAAGTAAAGAGGCAGCCAAAGTTCCAAGAATTCAGAGTGCAGCAGCACCTCCTGTTCCTGCGTCACGGTGGAAAAATGTAAATGTTCGCAGAACTTTGTATCGAAGTGCACCTTTATAAGGGGATTAGCCTGGACCGGCTAAGTTAGACATTTATTCAGGCAAAAATAACACAAACACAAGCAAACAAACAAAAACGACAAAAAAAAAAACTAAACAAAAGACAACAAACGAAAGCAATACTGATCAAATTAACACTTTAATATCCAGGCCAAGGTTTATAAAAATGTTTTTCATCACGCTGATGCAACTATTTATTTTAAATGTACGACTTTAAGGAATTTACGCAGTAATTATGCAATGTTACTAGCTTCCCCTCATCAAGCGCTAAATGTGCTGTAGTTTTATATTGTATGATACTAGCTACAAATGTTATACATAAATATAAGTGTTTAACTTCAGCTTCATTTTTCGTGGGAATTTTATCTATTTCTTAATTTTATTCAAAACAAGAACAAACAAACTAATAAATAAACTAGACTTGATAAATTTGATGCAGATATTAAATAATAAACCAGGAAGAGAGGGTGGTGGATGTTAAAAAAAAGGATAAAACCGTGACGTGTATCTTATTAACTGCTCTGACGTCACGCTGATGCAGCTCTGCCAGGCTGGACGTGAGTGGATGAGAGGGGAAAAAAAGCCCTCAGCAGGAATCCTCAGTCCCCTGCAGGAGGATCACGGTGACCGGGGCCGCGGCGTCCTGCGGCGGAGGAACCATCCAGGTTCGGATTACCGTCTGCCGGTCCTCCACCTCTGGACGGAGGGGAATAAAGGGGGGACCATTGAGGTCAGAGGAAAGCGTTGCCAGGGCGACACTGCGGCGCGCGCGTCCCACACCGGTGGGGAAGAGAGGGCGCGCGCTGGCGAGGCCGCGCTTGTGCGCGCGACCTGCGACAGCGAGCCGAAGCGGTCGCGTGCGTCCACATCAGCCGGAGCTCCGCGAGCCGAGCCGCATCCAACCCAGCCAGCTCGGGATTCTCCCAGACCGGGTTTACCGTGGAATTATCAGCAGGTCCAACAGAACCGGAACCCGAACTGAGTCCTCACAGGTGATCCCCGTTGATGCTGTGGAGTTATCCTGGTGCTAAACCCAGACTCTGCTTCTCACCAGCCTGTCAGACTTGAATTTCAGTCACACTCTGATCCGAACCGAGCCGGTCAGCTCGGATGGAGAACCAACCCGAACTGGTTTTGGTGTTTAAATCTGCGGCTGCTCGATCTCTTTATCCTCCATCTGCTGTCATGAAGTCCCACCTGCTGATGGAGTGAAGGAGGTCCAGGAGGGCATTCAGTACTACATTTTTATTTAGTATTGCTATTTTTGGATCAAGCACTCTTCTTTTTGCTCCTTTGACTATTTACCCAGAAGAGGAGTTGAAGCCGGACAGATCTTCAGCCTGAGCAGCAGAGGAGCACACTAACAGGTAGGCATCATAAAACACACACGTTAATTATTCTGGCATGGGCTTGAACTGAGTGTGTAGACATTAAATGGTTGAAAAATGGTCCACATGCAGCTTTTAAAAACATCTCAGATCTGTAGCTTATTCTGCATCATGTGTTTCATGTGAAATCAGAGAAGTCCTTCAGGCTGAGCCCCGCTCCCTTCCTTTCCCACACATGCAGGATTTGTAGCACGGATATTTGAAAAATGATGGGAACCATTGCCTGTTTCCTTAATCTGGAATATGATGGAAATCAGCTGGTATGAATGGGGTCATTTGTTGCATGCAGACCAGTGAGAGTCCTCCTTCTACATTCAAATCATCCCTCATCTTTAATATGAGCATCCCTTCATTTAGTCACCCCCCTCCAGGAAACGCCACATCCATGAGAACATACCCCCCCCCCCCCCCCCCCCCCCCACACACACACACACACACACACACTGGAAGAAGAATGGGGTGCATTTATATGCTGCGGCTGGTGTCGTGGGGCATCAGCAGGGCCTGTGAGATGATAGAATTGAGTCGCGGACAAGAAGACCTCTGTTCTTATCTGTGGCGACGAGCTCCTCTTCTGGAGTTTGGCAGTGAGTCCCCATTCCTCCATCACAGAAGATGGGAGCATCCCCTCTGTGGGGAGGAAAGCGTTTTTTGGAGGAAGGAAATGTGTGACTGTCCTTGTTTCTAGTAGATGTTGTTACAGAAGAGATGCTATTTGCTTCAGCAGAGGCTGGAAACCTTAAACACCTGTAGAGACTTTAAAAATGATGGTTATGATTCTTTGGAGTGAGTTTCTGGGGATCAATTTAATATCTCACCTGTAGAAAGCTCTTCGAGGGGCCTCAGTTTGGAGAAACAGATTGGTTCTGACCTGATTGACAAGCTAATGGCTAGTCTTGGGGTAGACCAACGTATATTTCTAATAAAAGCTAATTTTACCTCAGATGCTTTGTAAATCTTTACAACACTGTCATGTTGCACTGTTAATTAAATATTATAGATGGATTTGCTACAGCTAGCTAGCAAGCCAGCTACAGCCATTTACATTCTTTGACAAAATTATTACAAACATCTGCATTAAAGTTCTTAGAACCATTTAATCTCTTTGCCAAGCTGGTTTTAGTGTTAGCTACTCTTACTGTCAGCGACTCCAGCCAACCGGGTTCCACCTAGGACCACAACTCCCAGCTGCCCCTCGCCAGGATTCCCATCATTCCCTACCCACGTCACCAACCGCGGCTATATACGGAAGTCGCCTTCCATCTCAAGTCTCAACTGGCATCAATGTACTGGTTTAAAAAAAGTAATCATTTAAAAATGACTGAAATCCACTTTGCTATTAGCTTTGATCCGACTAGTGGTTAGCTCATCAATCCGGTCTGGTTTCCAAATTTAAGGTAATTAATGATGATAAATTTTCTACATAACCAAACTAAAAAAAGCTTGCTTTTTTAGCTTTTGTAGCTGTGAGCTGAAGCAGGTGGCTGTGGAGGGAGGGCGTCTGAGAAGAGATAGATGTCTGCTAGCCGGCGTTGCTAACCCGCTAACTGATGCACTCAGCTGTTGTGACGAGGCTGGATGAAGCGACCATCTCACTTCCACAGCCTTTAAAAAGTCCTAAATGTCAGACGCTGCCTCCGATTTTTGCTCCGACTGCTTATGTTTGCTGCAGACATGCAGGTGACAGCGGGTCTCTCAGCGGGTCGCTGCTAATTATAGGAGAGAGAGATGTCATCAGTTTGGAAAGTCTTCAGGATTAGGAGGGGAGAGCCGGGAACTCGGCTGGTGGATGTTGCTGGAATTAAACTCATCTTTAAATGAATTAGCGGAGGCGATTCCGTCTCCTCGGGGAGGTGCTGTTCTCCTTTTCATCCGTCAGTGTGAAGAAGATCTGCGAGGAAGTGTTTGTCAGCTTTTAGCAGAATTTTATCTGTGAATTTGTCTTTGAGTCTTTGCCTCAGCTGAAGGTTTCAGCTTTATAAAACACACAGGAGCGCCGTTTTAATCGACAGAATATGAAATAATTGCGACAACCTGTTTGCTGATCTGGAAGCTCCGACTGGGAGTTCGGTGTTAAACAAACACTGAAAGACAACAGAATTACGTCTGCTCTTTCTCTAAAGTCTACATTTCTGTATTTAGATTGCTGTGAAGCTGCTGTGGAGAAATAATTCTGGTTGTGCAAAAGAAAGTCTCGTGGAATAAATGTGTTTGCCCCCTTGCAAATTTCCTCACATGTTTTTCTTTTTGTCACATTTAAATGATTGAGATTAGAAGGTAAATGTCAATTAGACAAAATTATCTGAATAACTACAAATACTGATTTATTTCATTTCACTGATTGTGATAAAGTAGACTGCACAGTGGTGCGGTGGTTAGCGCTGTTGCCTTGCAGCAAGGAGGTCCTGGGTTCACTTCCTGGTCTAGAGCCTACCTGCATGGAGTTGCATGTTCTCCCTGTGCATGTGTGGGTTCTCTCCAGGTTCTCAGACAGTCCAAAAAATATGACTGTCAGGTTGATTGGCCTCTCTAAAGTGTCCCTAGGTGTGTGTGTGTGTGTGTGTGTGTGTGTGCATGTTTGCTTGTCTTGTGTGTCTCTGTGTTGCCCTGCGATGGACTGGCAACCTGTCCAGGGTGTACCCCGCCTGCATGCCTGGAGGATAGATAGGCACCAGCCCCGCGTAACCCTGCTTGGATATGTGGGTATTGATGATGGATGGATGGATGATTGTGACAAAAACCTGTCTTGACTGGGTTGTGTGAAAATGTAATCACCCTCCGTTCCCACAGTTCCTGGTTGCCTTCTTCCAGCCAGACATAGAATTAAGATCTCTGACAACATGAAGGAGGCTTAACGATCTCAAAAAACAACACACCAGGTCCTGTTCTAAAGACGAACAAACAACTAAAGAACCCAGAACAACCAAATCTCTGCAGGTGTCACCTGGTTAAGGTCAGAGGTCACCAATATTATATCATTATTCACCAATAATGATACCAATGGTCAAGCATGGTAGTGGCGTTACACCACTCCAGGACAACTTGGTGGAATAAAACCGAGTTTTATTGGGGACCTCAGAACCGTGGCTTCGTCATACAGAACCAAGCATGTTAGAACTTTTCTTCTTCTTGTTTTTACATTCCTTTCTGAACTGTGGCTGCCCTCTACCGGTGAAAATGTGTGACAGCCTTCACAGAAACAAACGTAGCTGACTTACTTTTAAACTCTCACCAGGTTTATGCAATGTTTCAGACATTTTATCTGTTAACTTTACCAAGTGCTACAGTGGCAGTGTGATGGTTGCTTTGCAGGGGCGTGTCCAGGGAGTGGCCTGGGGTAGCACATGCCACCCTTAGAATCTGATTGGCCACCCCAGGTGCCACCCCACTAGTTTAAATTGACTTTACATTGTCGACAAAAGGCTTGGGTTGTAAACTCCAAAACAGTGTGTGGTTGCATGCACCTTTCACCTTGTTTTCTAGCCCAGGCATGTAGTATTAATATTATTTAATATTTTTTCATATTCACATACATAATATTTAGAGTCCCACTCAACTCCAGTTGGTGGCAGTAATGCAACAACAAGTGACTTGCTAAACACCACAAAAGTAGAAGATGAAGAGCGGGGAAAAAAATGGCGATTGTGCAATGTGAAACTCAAAAATTCACTAGAAAGTAAATAAATAAACGATTTGTGTAAATAAATAAGCATAACCACTGGTGCCACCCATGAATAAACAAGTGCCCCACATAGCCACCCCACTTTAAAAGTCCTGGACACGGCTCTGTTGCTTTGCATATTCAGGACCTGGACACTTCCTGTAAGTGGTGGAATCTGCTCTCTATCTGACCTTTGACCTTTAAAATGTTGTTCCAGCAGGATAACCCTTAAATGTGGCTACATTTGAACTATTTTGTAAAGGACATGGGACTAAATTCCTCCACAGTCATGTGAGAGACTCACAGCAGTTATCACAAATGCCTTGAGGGTTGGTAGCAGGGATGTGTATTGTTGAAATTCTGGCGATACGACACATATCACGATACAGGGGAGACGATATGATATATCACGATATATTGCGATACATTCAGTCAGACGTTACAAGCAATTTTTTTTACTGAATTTATTGTAAGAATGTTCAATAAACAGTCCAAACTGATACGTAACATGTTTAACATGCGGTATCTGAACCATGATGGAGGGATTTACATTTCAGTGGTGGAAACAAAACCTGTTGCACACTGCTGCCAACTAGCGGGTGGCGATTGAATTGCACAAAATGAAAAGAAAATGCACAAATGTTTGTATGTAAATTCTTTCAAAAATTAGATACACAGCTTTTGAATATTGATGTAATAATCGCAGGGAAAAATATCACGATATATTGCCATATCAATATTTCCGATACACGGCTTTTGAAAATCGATATAATATTGCTTGAAAAAATATCACGATATATTGCCATATCGATATTTTCTTACATCCCTAGTTGGTAGGTCGGGGTGCAAGTACGTTTTCATCAGATTGTCTTCGCTTGATATTCAAAATTGTTTGCTGATCTGAAAAGTTTAAGTGTGACAAAAAAGGGAAAACAGGAAAAAAATCTCACATTAAAAGGAACCGTTGGATTGTTTCCGTCAGAACCGATCAGCATAAACCCCGTGGGTCTTTTTCAGCAAATATCCATAGGAGGAGCAAAATATGTCAAAACGCACCAATTACCGAGGCAGTTTGTAGCTTTTTGCAGGGAAACTGGTGCGTTGAGAGAATTTGGATCCACTTTATTCCATATTGTTGGGATTGGATCCCGCCACGTTCCTCCCACTGCAACTGAAATGTATTGAAATTCTTGGCGTTTCTGTTCGTTTCGTTGTTCATCACACAGCGGATGGGCTGGCAGCAAAAGTTGTTTAGTAAATAAAGTAGGAAGAAAGTCTCCTGTGGGTCAAAAAGCCCTGAAGAATCCTGCTTTAACAG